AGGTGCCACGTACCGGGTGAGTAGGTGGGATCCGCGACGCACGGATTAGTCCAATGAGAAATTAGAACGGCGGAAGTAGTAGGCCAATGGGAGATCCCTACCGCAGACATACTTCTTCTTGTTCTTCTTCTTCTTCTTCTTCTTCTTCTTCTCCTTCTTCCTCCTCCTCTTTCTTCTTCTTCTTCTTCGCCGCCCCTGCCTTTCTCCATCCTCCGATCCATCCAGCCCTTCCTCCATCCCATCTCGCCATCATCCATCATCCATGCAGCAGGCATCAGAGCAACAGGCTACAAACGTGCATGCAGCAGGCAACAAACATGCATGCAGCAGATATCAGAGCAGCAGGCAACAAACATGCAGAGCCCCCAATCCAGTACATGTCAGATTGCATACATTCAGCGTACAGCAGGCAACATACATGCAGAGCCCCCAAGACACCCCCCAACCCCAGCGCCCCCCACCCAGACCAACCCCGCCACCCCACCCCCACCCCCCACCCCCAAAACCAATATTTTATTGCAGATTCGGGGTCCTCTCGCCGAGCGCAGGACGACCCCGGTTTCAAAAGAAGAATAAAAACAATTCTGGGCGGTTTTTTGGCCCGCCCGGTTTACCCGGCGCCACCCCCCGGGCCCAACCGGCTGGGCGGCGTCCTCACTCAGGTAAATACTAAATTTCAGTAAAATACAGTATAAAGAAATGGACATGTTGGCCAAAACATGCAAAAACACAAAACATCGCTAACACTATAAAGGGTTTATGGGCAAAAAGATGGACGGCAAAGGTAGCGCCTCGGTCAGTCATAAAAGAAAATGTTACCGACGTGGGGCCAGTTCGGTGGGGACTGCCCGTTAGACCCCCAGCATCCCCCATACATTCAGCTTTGTGTAATTCTGGTATTATGAGTGCTCTTACTTAGTTGATGTTATTCTGCTGTCTTGTTCTCTTGTCGTTTGACATGTTCTTCTTTCTATRTTTCTGAAGCAAATTGTGTGTGTATCTGAACCTCGTGCTTGTTTCTAGTCCTCACTTTCTTCCTGTGATCCTGTTACTGATGGAATTAGCTGCTAACTTGTTCAGTCTCTCCATTTGATGCAGGGATATTGCAACCAATCAATTTGTAGGGGAAATACCTACGACACTCTCGAACTTAGGAAACCTCAACAATGCGTAAGTTCGACTGCAGAGTCTCCTTTTCAAGTAATGCAGATTCTGGAGAATAGACAAGTCAGGAAACCTTTGTCGATCAGTGTTTGGATCACATATTTTCGTATTTACCCCTCTTCATCATCTCATCTTCCGTATGCCTCTCGTCTTGATGAATTTATCTCACCACGTGTCCGATAATAGGATGTGTATGTGTTGTCCACAGCAAAGGAATCTGTTCCAGTTTGTAGGCATGGTAGCTAAATGATCTTGAACTACTGGCAGAATGCATTGTTTGCTTTCCTGGGTGGATGGATCGGTGGTGGTATGTGAAGTGTTTGCACTGAAAGGTCACTGTCCAGTCTTTTATTGTTGCGCCAGCTAGCTTGTCGGCTCTTAGTGCATCTACCATCAAGTCCTAATGCCTGCTGCTGTATGTGTCTGTCATTGCACGCTGTCTTAAATAACTGTCCCAGATGCGGCCCATCATGAGGAACATAAAACAGGWGTAACTTTGAATGTCATGGCATTTTAAGAAACAACTTGCTTGGATTATCATCCTGTTTAGTTGTATTTTTGCTTGATGTTTCATGTGAGAATGGTTATCATCTCGATTAGCGATCACCTGCAAACCAAAACCTGTGCTCGAAGTCGTTAGAGTCAGAGAGAAACTGTGTGTGTGTGTGTGTGTGTGTGGTGTGTGTGTGTGTGTGTATGTGTGTGTGTGTGTGTGTGTGTGTGTGTGTTTTGCATGCTCAGACACCCCACATCCGTCCTGAGGCAGCACAATCCACATTTTGGGCAATCTTAGGGCCATGGACATGGTTTTGGACCTTGGTCTAAGTTCGTTTGTGCATTTGTGAGCAAGGCTGGGCTGGCAACCGGCTGGTTCAGCTCGCACTGTGCAACTGGGGCCAGGTCGGCCCAGGGGGGGCGAAATGGCAAACCGGTTCTTAAAAAAAAAAAAGCCCAAATGTTGAAATGTTTTTTTTTTTGTTTTGTTTTTTTGCTGCGGACTTCGACTTCCCTCTTTGAGATCTGTCCAGGTCCGCAGTAAAACTTTGAAGGGGCGATTTTTGGGGGAGGCCTTTCCCAGGGTGGGAGGGAAGTATTATTGGGGTGGGTTGAGAGATATGGCTTTCACGTGTAGGAGTAAAAAAAAGAGCCTACTCATCTGACCTCTACGTGCCCCAAACATTTCAATTCAGTACCACAGGGAGTCATGGACTATTTCGTGAAGTATTGACACGAAAACCTGGAGGCTGAACGAGATATGATCTGATGTAATGTCCTTGCCAAACTTATAGCTCCTGCATACAGGCAAAAGTTATGGGTATGGGTTCGGTTTCAGCTCACGCAGGCAGAGTATTTTCTGTGTGTTTTTTACAATTTACGGTGGTTCACGAGTCCAAAAGTATCTTGCCTGGCAGTCTGTCCAGATACATGTAGTGGAGCAATGTCCATTCTTGGACTTCTATCACGGACAGCATTCCTACTCTGACTGCACAAAACCCAAACCCATAACTTTTATCCCTGAGCACAGGGATGCAGAAGAGCTAACCATACGCCGAATATAATCTCAGCAACCAACTCCTGGATCATATGTCCAGTCGATGGTCCATCAGACCACACGTTGCCAGCGAACAAGGAAAATCAGAGCCTACTGGACCCCACATCACTAAAAAAAATACGTGGTGGTTCTCCACCGCTGATCTACAAAAATCAGTGGTGGAGATCCTCCACCCATTTTTTTCTGCCAGTCGGGGCCAAAAGGCCTCGATAATACTCGATATCTTTTTAAGGGAGGCACGGGCCTCCCGGGGTCTGGGCAATCAGGAGGATGCCCGTGACTCCCCGGTACAACCCCCCCAGCGTGATGTGCTGGGTTCGACTGGGGGTCTACTGGGCCGGTTGACCGCCCGGTCCGACCGTCAGGCTCCCGGTCAGGGGAGGGGTCCCCTGTCCAACCAGGTCAGCCCTGTTTGTGAGTGCGTTTATTTWATTTTCTGAGCGTTTTATTATTATTTTTAGTTTTTTTAAATCTGTTCCAGGTTTTGTCGCTACTGGGATGTGTTGTTTGGACCTTGGGTTGTAGGAACAAGCACTTGTGACTGTTTTGACCAATAGAGTTAGTGATTGGCCATTTTTAGGCCCGGTAGTCGCTTTTCAGGGACCAGGTTGTCTTTTTGCATTGATCCAGCACTTGTACATTATGGGACACTCCCTGCTGCCTCAGCAGGGAGGCCTGGATGTCCTGTGGGGACCTAGCCAACCCGTGTGGCCCAGCATGCTGGACCAGGTTTTTGGCATGCATCCTGGGCCATCAGTCTATGGTCCGATTGGATGCAGGACTCAGGCTGAGGTGACTTCCAGCTGGTCCAGGAGTATATAGCTGGACCCAGGTTCATTTTCGAGACACAGCGTTGTAGGCACATGTTGGTTACGCTCTAGTGGAGTTAGGAGGTAGACTAGAGAGAGGTTCTTCAGCAGCTGGACACAATTTGAGTACTCACCTGGGTGGGATGGCCTGGGACTGCTGCCAGCCTATGGTCGGCCTTCTCTCCTTCTCCCCACCCTCCATATCCACCTTCTCTCATCCTGCTTTTAGAGAGAGAGAGATCTGAGACTGAGCTCTTACTTTGGCGAGGTTTTGCCCCCAGGTTAAGACTTGACATGGTGACTGTGGGATTTGGAGAGAAACTAGTATTATTCGGCTATTACATTCGGTTGCACTCTCTTCTTCTTCTTCTTCTTACTTCCCACTGGTCTCCTCTCCCCGCCTCCATTATTCGTTTTTCTTCTCATCATATGCGTGTAAGCAAGGGGGTATCTTTCTGTGTGTCCTCTCCTTACATATGGACACGTGTTCTCTACCTCAGCCTGTTCTTTCTATTCCTTGTTTGGAGAGGATGGCGAAGGCCCAATTACAGGATCAGCCGGACGAAGTCCAGTGTTACATGTGGGACATGAATGGAGAGGATGTCGTGGCTGATGACAGGAGCAGCCGGAGGAAGTCCAGTGTTACATGTGGGACATGAACGGAGAGGATGTCGTGGCTGATGACACAGTAATCACACTTACTCTCCGTTGCAGCTTCCTGAAAACATTTGCGGCACAGGGTATGTTCCTGACATGCCAGTAGGAAAGCAGGCTCACGCTTACAGATAGTCTAGCATGGCATGTCAAGTACGCAATGGTATACGTGGCAACTAGTAAGTGGTTGAGTGGGATGAATGCAAGACAAACATGGGTGACAGTTCTCATATAAGAGACTGGCAGTGGCCATCCCTTCATACTGATCAGAGCAGAGATTATGCCATGCACATGCTTAACTGGACTGTGCCTATACGTAAACACAATGGCATGGCACAGCAGTGCGTGCTCCTCTGTGTGTGAGAGTGTGTGTGTGTGTTGTGTGTGTGTGTGTGTGTGTGTGTGTGTGTGTATGTGTGTGTGTGTGTGTGTGTGTGTGTGTGTGTGTCTGTGTCTGTGTCTGTGTGTGTGCACGCACGGGTGTGCTTACGTGTGCATCTGACTTGTTTGCATTGCGCATGTGTGCATGTTTGTCTGTTCTGTGTACATGCATTGCGCATGTGTGCATGTTTGTCTGTTCTGTGTACATGTCTTGTGCTGTATGCACTCTGGTCTCCTGGAAAACTGACTTAGCTTTCCTGGCTTGCAATTACAGGAGGTTTATGAATAACTTCTTCAATGGAACACCTCCGTCTTTGCCAGTTGTTGCTACAAGTTCGGGATGGTAAATAGAGACACTTCTGTCAAAACCCCTGAACGAGACACTCCCTTTAGCACAGCTTAACTGCCAGAGGGCTCCTTGAAGTTCCAGAATGAACCCAAGCTCAGGATGTCGTAGGTTTCCACATTTTGCCACAATCCCTTTGTCAAGTTTTCCAGAGATGCAACATGAAGTCGTGGTGTGTAGGTTGACTGAAGCTGACCAAACAGTGGCCTTAAACTACACCAAAGGGCCTCCTATTTTCTAGCCTAAGCTCATAGG